AACTGATTTTTCTTGAACGACCTGATTTTGGCATATTCCCCAGTGGGACCGGAGTGCAGAGTGAAGTCTTATTCTGCTGATCTGGATAATGTCATCAGATGGAGACAAATGATTTTTAAGCAGGCATTTCTGCTAATTTCAGTGGTGAATTTTTCCAATTAAAAAAAAAAGAAAAGAAAAAAGAATAAATCCCATGTGTGCCTGTGCAGGAGTGTGGTCTATAATATTTAAATTGCTATATCCCAAAGGATGAGTACAATGGAGAAATCAACAATTCAGGAAATAGGGAGTGTTGATTTGAGTTGGCCTTGAAGAAATATATTCTGTAAAATCTTTTAAGGCAAGGGAAAGAGGCAAGATACTTCTATGGAGTCTTCTGAGTTCTAAAACCTGTGGGATTAACTGAATTTACAGGAGGAATGGGACGGCTGGATGAAAAGGAAGGAGACAGGAGTGCTTAGATGATGGTGAAGGAATCTGGGCTGTGTGTCTAGGAGAAAAGTGGGGTGATTATTAAGGAACAACAACAAAATTTTAAGGGTATTTGGCCATTAAAGCTGCAGGGAAATCTGCAGAGGAACATTATGGATGTGCCAGGGCACTGTGGGGCCTCACACACAATTTGCTGCAGGCACACACCTGAGAGATTCAATAATTCAGCATAAAATTAACAAGACTTTCATGTGTTGAGCAGAAACCTGTGTGTTCAACCTGTCCTTCCCTCCTGCCCCAGGAAACCCTCTGTCTGGATGGCAGCTGGGTAGATTTCTGATCACTAATAAATTCTTCAAAAGGATTTGAAAGCAAGCTCACTAGAGCCCAGGGATCAGGCTGGTTCAGTGGGGCTGGAGACAGAGTAAAAGTACAGTGACATCTAGTGATCACTAATATTTCACAAAGGTGCTACCCGTGGAAAAAGCGAACACATATGTATTATTAGTTAGCATTTTAAACACATAACACAAAACCCCAGATCATTAATGGAGGCCAGGGAAAGAGGTGGGAAACAAATGAGAGTAGATTATGTGAATTAAAGTGCTGCAGGGCTGACAGAGAGCAAAGTGCTGGTGCTGTTGAAGGCTGGGGGTGGATTTCCACAGGGATCTTTCCTAGGTCTGCATTTCTCACTGTTTCAGCAGAGTTTGCTGATGGTACTAAATTGCAGCACATTCATATAAAAGAAACTCGACGTTTTGGAGACTGGGAATAGAACTGATAAAATGATGTGCAGTGTTGAAAGTATGTGCTAGTCCCCAGCGGGAGAAGAGCAGAATTAACCCTGTTCCAAGGCTGGAATATGTGGTGTGGCAGCAGCTCTGCCTCAGCACTGGACAGACACTAAGGAAAAAGCAAATAAAGAGGGAATGCCAGCTGGGCATCAGAGCTATGATTCAGGTTTGCATCTTGAATCAAAGTGAGATTTGGGTTTGTACTTGGCTGCATTAGGAACTAATTAGTTTTGTGATGTTGGTTGACTGTTTTCTACTCCAGGTCACTGATTGACTGCTGACAGTTAAAAAAAAAAAAAGATTTTTCCTCAAGTTCTGAGTCTGCCCACTTGGCCAGGCCGGGCTTCACTTCTGCTGTCCTGACCAAGCACCCTTAGGTATGAAAAATGGTACATTAATGAGCAAAGGATTAAGAGAAACTCTTTCTCCGAGGAGGATGGGGCAGGGCATTGCTTATTTACGTCTTCATTGCACAGAGTGAAGAAAACTGAATCAGAAGTGTTAGCTGGAGTAACAACAGAGAGAGAGAACTGATGCAATTGGTGAATTGATTTTGCAGATTTAAACCAGGTATCTTTGTGGCCACATAAATATGCAGGCAAATTTTCCTGTGATGAAACATTCAGGAGCTGCTTTGACAAAAGTTGAGAAGGAAGCTCTCAGCCAATTTCCAAGCCCTTCCCTTGAGCCTCCAGCAGCCAGGCAGGTTTAGTCTCTCAATTATTAGCTGAGAGCAGAATATACATTCCCACCGTCTGATTTCAGATGCCGCTGGAGAATTTCCCTCGGATAGATGCATAAGGGGAGAGACAGATCCAGGCACATCAGATGCTATGGCTGCCTCTGACTGTTGTGAGCAATAACTACAGAATGGGAGTTTATTAAAAATAGTAGCCCAAATTAACTACTGGGTTTCTATGACTAGGTACACGATTTTCTACAGGGAAAAAATGTGTAGTGGGACTTCAGGTGCTGCATTTCAGTAAAGATTTTGATACAATGCTGTCTGAAAAATTATTAGCTATGCTGGCATAGACAGGAATTAGAAGAATAATTGCAAAACTGAGTGAGGACCTGGCAAAGACAGATGAGGGGACCGGTGATTGCTTTGGTGAGGTTGTTTAGTGCTTTCATGGGTGATGAAGGGGATAGGGTTCACTTGCTGAAGGATTTACAGACCTGCTCACCCCATCTTCCCTGCAGGGCTGGGGAGCACCTGGTGCCCCCCATGAAAGCTGGAAAGTGAGGAAAAAGGACACTGCAGCTGCTTTGCCGAGTCCAGAAAATTTCCCAAAGGGTTTGCACAGCTCTGATATTTCAGCAGAAAGCTTTCCTGAGTTGAAGGCACTATCCTCCACCACCATTCCGGGGTCAGGGTCCCAGGCTCCAGCCCCAGTGACAACACTGTATTTGTCAGCATCACATTTGACTCCATTTGCTCTGGCCCAGGGGGATGTGATCTGTGCTGGGAGGAGCTGTGCTGGAACACGAGGTGCAGCGCCCGACGCCAGCCGGGCTCCCAGCACAACTGCTGAGAAAGCAATTAAAAATAACATCACTGTGAACTGACAAATCTACTGTTGGGTTTGGTCTCAGAGGGACTTCACGGTGTGTGGCTGAACCGTAGGTTTTTCTCCATGACAGGTCTATTTATTTTAAATAGAGGAACAGAAGAGTTGCGTCTCCAGATGCTTAAAAAGCAAGTGGTTACTTTTCAAGGACTATTTGACCAGAATTTCATACTAAAACTTCTATTAAATAAAGGTGTGGAAGGTGGAGGACAATATTCCAGTATGACAGCATCCTCAGCATCTGCCAGTTAGGAAACATTGGCCTGGGTGCAGCATCTATTTGCAATGGTTTGAGGAGGAAAAGAAAGTACCATTGCCATTGCAAGGAAATTACTTGCCTTTTACCTAATGGGATGAAAATGCCCAGGGTTGATGTCAATTTAATCAGGTTCATCATTTCACAGCAAAGGCCATTCACTAGTTCATATGATCAAGGACCAAAGTGCTCCTTGCTAGAAAAAAAAAGTAATAATATTGTGGGTAATGTGTGAGTCAGCACAGCAGGTGTGGAGCTGTTTTTTGGGAAAGGGCTGCTTTTTGGCATAGCTTGATTCATGGAAGATGATTAGATTCAGCAACTTGAAATTTTCTTTTTAAAAGGTTCACTCAGCTCCCAGCCAAGCGATGCAGAAGTGGATGTGATTTGAGATCCCACCAGCTATGACAATTTACCTGGAATTTCTTTCCCTGCTCTGCAATCCCCACACTGACCTAATCTAAAATCTGCTTCCCAGCTTTCAGTCCTTCCCTAAGCCCTGGAGGGCTGCATTCCTCCTTCCATCCCTCCTTGGATACTGCAGTGTGCAGGCTGCCAGCCAGCAAATCCACAGGTGATTCTTCCCAACTCCAATTGCTGCCTTCCTGCTCCAGGTGTGAATAGTCCATCTCTCTTCTTTCCCATACACTATACGTGGTGCACATTAATTTGTGCTGTACATACCAGCTGTGGACATACCAGGGAGGCAGAAAGAAACAGTGAAAAGTGTATTTACGTGTGCACGAGTTCCTGCAGTGCCACTTGGAAATCACACCTGTGTCCCCCATGAGCACATTGCAAGGAGGAAAGCCAAAAAAATCCCAATAAATGTAAGTCTGGGGCAGCGTTTTGAATCCAGAGCATCTCTTCTTTCTTTTCCCAAATTGCACTCCAAAGTCAGCAGTGGAGTGGTAGCAATACAGTGTCATCACAAACATATATTATTTCTGTGATGCATGTTAGTACATTGTAATGAAAATGTGTTTTCCAAAGGCACAGTTCCTTTTTTCCCCTTTGCTGTCACTGTAACGTTCTGTTTCCCACTCTCCACTGAGATAAAAGGCTTCCCTCCCACCTACCTCCAAAAAAAAAATAAAAATAAAATCTGAGTAATGGGAATGACAGAACTCGTGTAATTGTCCCTGCTTTGCATGCTTCCAGGCTGATTGCCTGAATTATGACTGATCCAAATTCCCCCTGAACTCCATGAGAGTCTTTGCACTGAAACAGCAGTTTGGTGTTAGAGGAGCCTTTTGGAGGAGCAGGCTCAAAGCCAGGAGAGTGGAAGCAGCATTGCTCCGTGGCTGTGGTGGAATGAGGACAATTTAACCCTGCTGAGGATGGGACCTGCTAGTTTCCCTGCTCATAAATGGTGATTGTTGCTGCATTTAGGCACATGTACAAAGATTTTTTTTTTACAGCTTATAAATATATATATAAAAAATATAGTATATATGTATGGATCACCAAAGGAATTTCAGAGGCTGAATGAACGCTCATCACCCCCTTGTATTCATATACATATAACTCTCCTTTAGTCATTGTACCTTTTCATTATTAGGGAGTATTTTCCTCTTAAAATATCTTGCAACAATAATTTTTTGGTGCCAAAATATGGTGCACAGGCTGGAACACTCAGCCATTTCTGGGCCTGACAGTGATGGAGATTGTTGACTTGCAAACCCTCTTTGTTTGGTAGCTTGTACCTAAATGGGTGGAATTATGTGTGCTCAGGTCACAGGCTATTTTATGTATTTGATTAGCAACTGTACAGGGTTTTTGCAGATTATCAGCTAATTAATTGTAACAGGATGTCTTATGTTGACTTTTGGACTAGACCAACATAATATCTATATTTCAAATGAGGCCTTTTTTCCCCACACAGGAGAATGCATTGCCCTGCAATTACCCAAGAGGTACCTGGGCAGCTCCTGGGTAATGGTAATCATGATGAGTGCTGGACAATAAAGGTGAAAATGTGGTGAAATTAAAGAGTTTTAAACAGTTATTTCCCCACAGAACATCTGCTTTATTTGCAGGCTCTGCCATGGATGCCCATTTTGCCCGGCTGCAGCTCTGCAACAGCATTTCAGCCCCAAATTTTTCCAAATTTCCCTCCTTGGAAAATATCCAGAGTAGGCTTTTGACAGCATGATGGACAGTTCTCATTGGGATGTGTGAAATGAAACTGTCTCAGGGTCCAGCCAGCAATGCTGATGCCCTGTTACATATTACACTGTCATACTTTCATTAGGCAGTGACAATTTAACATGATGGTCATTATTAACTGTTTAATTATGGGAGCATTTACACCACCTTGCTCTCCTTGTCTTCTTCATCCTCCTCATCAGTGCTCTCCAACACTTTGTCTCCAAATGCCAGTAAAGCTGTTGCTATCATGGCTTGGAGCCTCCCCAGCTGCTCGCCAGCTCTCACAGACCCAGCTACAAACACGTTCAGAGAAACCAGCATAACTTTCCTTTCCAACCTTCAGAACTTTCTCCTCAGCATTTTCATGGTTTGACAACACCTCTGGCATCTTCCAGGAGAAGAGGCCCACGAGATGGAAACAGGAAGGGCACGTTGAGGGTGCGATTATTTCTTGTGAAATGGAAGCAACTTCGCTTTCTTCCTAACAGGCAGATGCTTTTCACCACTTACTTAAAATGTTCCATTTTTCCTTCAAAACTTATAGGAAATAAAGCCGTTCATGCAGAAAAGCAGATTGTTCCCCTTGTAATGGAATTTAACTGAATTACGACCATTTACATGTAAGACATTTACGCTGAAACCCTCAGGGATGGAAGGACCTGCAGACCAACATGGGCTCCTTGCTCTGCATTAACAGCCTCAGATTTGGCTTGTGTGAAAAAACTCAGGGCAAAGTAAACAGAGGAGAAAACTTTTGACAGTCACCAGACCTCACAAAGATGCCTCAGACAGCGGAAACACTAAAATCGAGATTTGGTCTCTTCTCCACTGAGAAAAAGCCAAGAAATGTCCAGCACAGCTGCTCCCTTCTGTAGTCCCATGAGCAAAAGGTGCTGCTGTAGTTGCAGATTCATCCTTTGGCCAGTGGGATGGACACCACCCAACTGCACATGGTGGATGTTGCAGATACAAACCCAGAAGGATATGTAGCCATAGCTATTTAATATCTAGAATTAAATAAGGAAGGCAATGAATGTCAACCATGAGGGAGTTTTGCCATTATGAATGTGTTTATAAGTGTGAATATTATTTACCAGTCTTGGACTAGGGCAGCCTGCTTCTATTAAATTCCCTTTGGAAATGAAAGGCAAGAGCCAGCCACTTGGTTCAGGGTGTTTCCCTTTCCAGGAGCTCAGCAGGATCTGACCTTGTGTTAGAATTTAAGATTTCATACTAATTCCATTTAAAGCACCTCAATTGCTTTATTACTTTAGAAGTCTCTTTTTTTTAATCTTCCCATCAAAACCAGATAGTTAAGTAGCATACCAGATAATTTGTATATTAAGAATTCTGGTTATAATATGAGATAATCTAATATACCTTACTTTGTTATACAGTGTGCCAGAGAGGTGATCATAGAAGGGGGCAGACCCTTGACTTTTACCCCAAATAGGGAATCTAATGCTTTTATTTCCCCAGGCAAATATTGCAGCATATAATACTCCATTAAAGTGGGGAGGGAGGGATATTTGATGAGGCCTCTCAGGAGAGTTAGGATGAGAGGAGGATTTCAGTAATAAATTAAATGCTGTCAGCAGTTTAAATTTATAAATAAATAAAATTGAGTGCAATTACATTGAGGATCTTCTAGAAAAAGCTCAGGCAGCTTCAGCTCCTGCCACGGGAAATGGCATCTCAGTGTCCAGGTGGACAGCAACGTCCTTTCCAAGGACATTCCCATTTCCACATTCTCTCTGTGGTCATGTTCTCCACAACCCAGCTGGCACAGTGTAGAAAGGCAAAGAGACTTCATCAAGGCTTTGAGATCAAGATCAGCCTTTCCTTAACTTCAGTGCTCCCTGACTGAGCTTTGCCCTGTGATGGCCTTAGGTATGCCTGGGGAGGGTGGTTTTAATGGCCTGGGGACCAAAATGTGCAGGATGGGAAGAAAAAGCAGAGTGATAAGCAGGAATAAAGGCATAGGGTAGTGAGTTGGGATGAGGATTTGAAAGACATGGAAGAAAATGCTCAATATCATCTACGTTTTAGGGAGAGGAACTGAGAAAAGCTGAGTATCCAAGCACCGCTGGAAATGGGTTTCACTCCTACTTGGTTAGAAAACACTTGTGACTTATGGGACCCCAAAATTAGCTGGAACAGATCCCCAGCCACTTCACCTGAGGGAGCACAGCACGTGTCCACTTTTGGCACCATCTGTGGTCCCGAATGACTCTGGGAAGGAGCACAGCCAGGTCTGCTCACACACCACACAGTGATGGGTCTAAGGGCTTCTTTCAGTGTGGTTCCCACCAGCACTGGGGTCTGGCTGCTCAGCTTTTGGCTTCTGTCTGTCAAAACGAGGGGCTCCTAGATTGTGGGATGAGAAGGGATTACTCCATGTACAGCATCTGCCCAAAGGAGCCTGACAAGGGCAGGTAATCCATTCCTCTCAGTGCCTCTCCACTTGGGCATCGGTTCTTGCTTGTGGGGTCAAACACTGGCCACTGATGGGATGATAAAGAGCCAATTTTTGATATGGGAGTGGAGCTGTGTAATGAGTTACCACAGATATCCCCGTTTAATGTGATTTATTGTGTCTGCTTCATCTGATTTATTATCTCTGCTAATTATCCCAGTAAATCAGTGTTTGAATGGAACTTGCCATTGATACTAAATGTGAAGGACTGGCATTACTTTTGGAGAACTAACAGGAAAAAATCCAGCTGTGTATATGTCAGAGAATGAAAAAGACTTCTCTTGGCAAAATGCAAGCAAAATTGGTGGATACAAAAGCAGCATGAAACATGGTGAAAGGATGGATCTCCCTGTGTGTTGACACTTCATAGCCATCACTTTGCCAAAAACATCTTTGCCACCATGGCATCCACAGGTGATACCTGTGAGCAAAGACCAAAGAAGAGACACTGCTGTCCCAGTGCTTCCTTATATTCTATGACATTTACAGTAATCAAAAAATACATGTAAATCACAGAGAGCAAACAAAGGAAAGGCAGTGCTGAAGTTCTCGTGCTGCTGACGGGGGCAAGAGGGTTGCAGGTGCAACTTACTGCACCGAAATCTTGCTGATTTTCAGAAACAGTGCAAAATCCTTCTCAGGTTGAACGTGTGCAAGATTTATTCCCCACGTTTCCAAACAAACAGTAACCTAATACCTGGCAGAAAAAAAAAAGCGTCACCTGAGTGCATCCAGCAAGCTACTGGAACAAAAACATACCCTTCTGGTGACAGCCTGAGCTGGTCCCCACAGAGAGAAACAGGTGAAAATGTGAAGCAGCCTCTGCTCCAACTGCCAGGTTTGCACGTGTCGAGCTGTGCTGCTGGCTTTGCTGGCTCACTTCAGCTCTCACGCTCCACCCTTTGAGGTTGTTTGGTTTGTTGATTTTTTTTTTTTTTTCAGCTTTTGCAATCTGACAGAGGCGGGTGAAAGCGAGTTCAGGGAAAAGACATTCCCCTGAAGAGCAGCTGGAGAGCAGTCCTAGCCCTGCCTGTGCTAGGCAGAGGACAGACAGCCACTCCACTTGCTTTAGGCTAGAACCACCCCCCCCAAACCCCGGAGGTATCCTGGTGCTTGAACTGATTTTCCAGGTAAGCCTTTATTTTAACCCCCGGATCTTTGTAGCTGAGCGCTGTCTAACCAGGAAGTTAAATCTGGCTGGAGACAAAACACAGCAGAAATGGTGTAAGGGCAGAGCAGGGAGAGCTCAGCTGCTCAGTGTCGTAGATACACTGGTTTATTTACTCAGCTGTCTGCCTGAAGCAGCTCGGGCATTTGTGCCATCTGCCTTATTTCAGTTAAAACAGCCTTATAAACACCTGCAAGAGATGGACAGACAGACAGACAAAGCCCACATCAACATTCTCCCTGCAAGTAAAAGTTACTACATGCATTCTGCCTGCTGTGCTAAAGGGAAAGGAAAGGAGAAAGAAAGGGAAAAACAGCTCATTGCTGGTGATGCTGGTTTAAAATTCACACGGCAACAACTAAGCTTATGCCAAGTTTTCTGGAATGAATAGAGTTGTAGTTCTGGGGCTTTGGGGAAAATCTTGGGAACAGACAAAAACTGGACAAAGAGAATGCCCTAAATCTGATGCTCTTAACCCCACAGTGGATCACTCAGGCCTGCTTGTAGGATGTTGAAACATGGGAGTGGCCATGATGCAACAGTTAAGAGTTCTGTAAAGCTTCTATCTTAAAGGGTGCAATACCCTCTGCTTCTGCCGGGGTATTGCACCAAATGGGAATTTTTAATTGCTTTGTTTATGTACTGAAAGTATCTTTCCAAAATTCCCATACAATTTTGGCTGTGCCATTTTTCACCAGATTGAGAATATAATCCTGTTGGAACTGTTGGAGTTTATCTTATGATTTTACTTTGAGAGTTGTATACAGGAACTTGAGAACATTTTGGGACCTCTTGGGTTAACAATCTGAACAACACTGCTCCATACTTACAGTTGCCTGAATTTTTGCAGTGCCTGGGGAGGAACAACAAAAGTACTTGGCTCCATCAAAATCCCATTCCTTCCACGGAGGGCTGGGAGGGTTTGAGCTGCTTTCCAACCCCATATTTATGAAACAGCCTCACGCTGAGCCCTCTGCCATTCCAGGGTGGGGCAATGCCTGCTCCCTTACCCATGGGCAGACACCCACTGCTGGGGTGACCATGAGTAGAAGGAGCAAATGCATCCCAAAAAATGATGCCAGAAAATCTGAGACCCCCTGAAACTTGTAGTTTTGGCCCAAACCTTGGATTCCTCCTGCTGCTGGTGTGGGGCTGTGATTAGCAGAGCTGGGGAGCTAAGCTGTGCTGGGGGGAGGCAGCTCACAGCAGATGCAGCAAAAAACCTCCCACAGCCTTTTCTGCCCTAAAGCAGCCTTTTGCACTCCAGGTCACATCTGCTACTGCCAGCACAGAGAGCAGGAGCAGGTGAGACCAGCTCATGCCAGGCTGCCTAAATAATGAAGAAATACCACAGCAGGACAGATTTGTTTCATGTTTGGTTGCAGAGGAGGCTCTGGATTGCTCTGCAAGAGTGGGAGGGTTTGTTTTCTGCTTCTGCTTCGATGAGTCAAACCATGAGCAGTTCAGATCTGGAGAGTCTCAGTTCCTATTGCTTCTAGCAGGGAAACAACTCTGCTACTGCTTTTGTTCCTTCCTACAGAGATTTGTAGCTTTGCTGGGCAGGAACTCTGCTGAAATGTGCTTAGCACAGCTGGAGCCTCTCATCACAGCTGTAAAAGAAGCAAATAAAAATAACATTTGTGCTCATCAGCAGCATCCCATTGGCTTCTCTCAGCGCTAATACTCAGCTGCCTTTGAGACAGACATTAGTCAAATCCTGCTCCTCTTCCGAGCGCCCCATTATAAGGAATGGGAAGAGCCTTCCATCACTTCTGACACAACCTATTATTTTTTCCCACCCTTCTCTCAGAGGCAGAATGGACATCAAGGAATATTTTGCCAGAATTTCTTACCAGGGCTCCCACAATAAGCCAGACCTGGGTACTATGTCAGATATATTCCAGCACCACATCCAAGCTGTCCCTTTTGAAAACCTCAGCATCCACTGTGGGGAAACGATTGAGCTGGACCTGGAAGCGACCTACAACAAGATAGTGAGGAAGAAACGTGGGGGCTGGTGCATGGAAAACAACTACCTTTTGTCTTGGGTCCTGAAAACTCTTGGCTATAACGTCACCCTTCTGGGAGCAAAAGTTTATGTCCCGGAGCACGATGCCTACCCAGAGGAAATAGATCATCTGCTGCTAAAAGTGGTGCTTGATGGCAAATCCTACATCGTGGATGGGGGGTTTGGGATGGCCTACCAGCTGTGGCAGCCAATGGAGCTGATTTCAGGGACAGATCAGCCGCAGACTCCCGGGGTCTTTCGCTTCCTGGAGGAGAGCGAGACCTGGTACCTCGAGAAGGTAAAAAGGAAGCAGTGGGTTCCCAACCAAGGTGCCTCCGCTTCCCACAACGTGGAAGATGAAGTCTGCCGTCGGATTTACCTCTTTACCCTTCAGCCACGAGACATTGAAGAGTTCAGAGGCTGCAATGCCCACCTGCAGACAGCGCCAGACTCGCTCTTCGTGACCAAGTCTATTTGCAGCCTGCAGACTGCCGACGGCATCCGGGCACTGGTGGGGTGGAAACTCACTGAGATGAAGTACAATTACAAGGACAATATGGATCTTGTGGAAATCAGAATGCTTGCAGATGAAGAAATAGAGAAAACACTGAAAGAGAAATTCAATATAACGCTAGACAAGAAATTTGTACCCGTCAATACGAGCAGGTTGTCTCTGTTCTAACTCACTGCCTGAATTATAATTCAATTCAGGGGCATTACAGGCAATTCCTCCCCCTGTTTCTGACAAGCCTCTAAAGGTTAAGCTTTTCCCTTCCATCTACACCAGTGTAAAGCAGAACATACTAGCAAGAATCTGGAAAAGAAATGGATTTTCACAACTATTCCTACATCTCTTTTTTATTTGGGTACAAATAACTCCTTCCCAGCTCAATCAAATCACTGTCCTCTGTTTGTGCTTAGCAGGGAGCACAGTCTGCCCATTCCCTACTCCTTTCATCTCTTAAAAGCTTCTCTAAACACACCCAGAGCAGCTGGGCAGACCGATGGAACTGCATGACTCTTTCTTTATTACCTGGTGCTGCCACCTGGGGAAAATCATATCCACCTCTTAAATGAACACTATTTTGGGAATTTAACAGCCAGAAAAACAAAGACATCCTGTGCTGAGTTTGCTCCACAAGCCTGTCCTTTTTGCTCCTGCATCCACAACACCCTCTCACGTGGCAGTCAGATGGTGTCACACCTGTGCTGCACCGTGAGAATACTTAAGGACAGGTTATTTATGGCCTAAAACAGATGACAAGAAATATGAGCGACAATTCTGTCTTGTTTCAGACTTTACAGGACTCCTGTTCTCTGAGTGACATAACCAAAAAGCAGTATTTCTTCAAACTTAAAGCATTTCCTTAGCATTTTCTTTGCTACCACCCAGCAGCAGACTGCTGGGAATACATGTTCCTCTTGTCACTCTGAGTGTTATTGCACATTAATTATTATGGCTGAACCCAAAAACAGGCTCAGAATTATTTATCTGAAATATATCTGTTCTACTGAGGATGTGTTTGCAGTGATACAAATTATATTGATAAAAGGAGAAACGATGAATCTTAATCACATACCTAAAGGCTAAGATTTCTAGTAGGAAATGTGATCACTTTGCCCTTTGAGAAGATACTTGATGTTCTTTCATGTACAAATCTTGGAAGCATTACAACTATGCACTTATAATTTAGTAAATTATATAAGTGATTTACAGTTAAATAAAAAAAAAAAAATCAAGCATTGTGTGGTAGAATTATTCAGACATTTTCCCCCCCAAATTACAGCATGTATTCCCAAAGGAAAAAATGTCATTAATCACTGCAGTTGTCCTGATTATTTTTATGTGCTAATATTTTGCAGCGAAGGCTTTTAAAAACACAATAACTCACTGGACCTTTTTTACTTGGTATGCAGTATGTGCAGCTTTCTATAACCAGCAATTTATGGTGGATAAAAGCTGCTGCTATTCTGCACATTCAAAGTGTATTTCATAGAGACACAACGAGCTCCCCAAATCCCCATCTCCCCAGAATTCAAACTCATCTATATGTGCTTGGCTGTGGGTGTGCAATAGTCCTTTATAGCATATGAGGCTCTCCCACCCCATAGGGAAATGAAATGTTAATGACATCCTGTAGTGGGTTGCAGAAGAAAAAGGGGTTTCCTGTGGTGTGGACCAGCAGCTTGCAACACAGATGATCAGAAGGAATTGTCCCAGGATATGGCTTGTTTGTGGTCTGTGTCTTTCTGTGGTCCCTGCAATAGTGGAAGAGCTAAAGGAGCTAAACTTAGGAGGTTTGTCCTTGTAGCAGCCTGGCAGCTGGGGCAAAGTATTGGGATGCAGGCAAAAGTCCAAGCAGGTCTTGCAAAGTTGTGGAGCAGAAGGAGATCCATGCAGAGCCAAGAAGCTCCATCCTTTGTGGGAACAGACATAGGAAACATCTAGTCGGGGCTGTGCCAGCTCTTCTCCCTGTGCCTGGGTGTTTCTTGCACTTTATACTGTTCCATAGGCTCAGGGCAAGGACTACAGAACCATAAAATTATAGACCTTTAAGATCAGAGTAGAGTATTACATCCATTGCCCCAGGGATTCGGCATGTGAAGGGCAACAACAGGGAAACCCACTTTCTTTCTGCTGACACATCTCCTGGACCGTGTGCCCCGGCCACTGCCAGGGCTGCTGCCCCTCCATGGCACAGCTCACACTCCTGGCCCCTGCTCAGCACACCCACAGAGGCAGATTTTATTGCCGAGCAACCAAATGAAACTTGCTGTTGGAAGGGGAAAAAAAAAAAAAAAAAAGAAAGAGGCTCTTCATCTCCAATTGCACTGGTTTGTTTTTCCTTGTCGCTAACTTTGGAGGCAAATCCTTAAAGGCACAGCAGGCTCAGGGAGCACAGACTTCTCTGGGAGCAGTGTCCTTGCTGCTGGAGAACAGGGCTTCTTTTTGAACCCAAGGGGATTTAAACAGCTACCTGACTTGGCAAATCTGATCTTCTTGCTTTGGGGAGGGCTGGTACCAGCCACGAGGAATATGTGTGCTTAATTCAACAGCTACCATTCCTATCAATGAAACAGTGACTTCTTGCCTTGGGTAACTATCACTAGTAACTTCCAACAGGAATCCAGACTACATGAGTGTCAACAATATAAAATCTGTATCAAAATTTGCACTATTTCTTTGCTGCTGTAGCTTGGGAGCACCCATCAAGGTGCCCCACAGACTGAAGCCCCTGGGTGACCTGCAGGGTCAGGGATGGGTTAATAGGTTATAACCACTTACAAAAGTTGGTCATGACACTCATACTGCTTTTTTCCTTTGTACTTCTGCAGGGCTTCAGTTCTCATTCAGTAACGTGGAAGGTTAAAATCTACTCAATATTGTAAGCAATCTGGGGGCTGGATCATTTTCAGGCTCTCCGTCATGACAGGGCTATCAACACATATGCCAGTATAGATAAACCAATAAAACAATTAGAATATAAACTGTTACAAAAGAAGAAATTCTCACCTCTTTTACTGCTGTGAATAACACTGAAAATAACACAGAGAATAACACTGTCCCTGACAGGCAGTAAAAGCAGCCTGGACCTTTAAGAGCAGCAGTTCCCAGTGCAGCTCTTCCTGGGAACTTTGGAGCAAACCAGCGTGGAAAGCCTGAGCTGACTGCCTGAGAGGTAAGCGCTGAGTGCCTGATCTTTAAGTTCACCCTGCAGCCTGGGGTCAGCCCAGAAGTTCAGTTTGGGAAAGCCTACCCCTGTGGGTTTGCATACCATGTGCTCAGCACTGTAGGCATATTAGCAAAGCACAAATTACAGGAACGCAGGGGCCAACAGCGTGTGTTGCATGGCAAGGGCATTTTCCAAGTACAGCAATTCTTTGAGAGTTAAACTAACCCCTTTATGCTGAGCCAGCTACTGACTCACATCATGACTTAAAAATCAAACAAATAGCACAGGCACGTGCAAGAGGATCCAGCCTTGGAAGTCCCTCATGATTTTTAGCAGAGAAGAACTGTTGCTAATACTCACCCTAATTATGGAAGGACACAGCGATCCCCAGGGGCTCTTCCAGGCAGGCAGAACTAATGTCTGAATCTCACTACCCCCCAGCCTGCATGAATGCTGAGTGAAGCTCAGCTGCTGCACAAGCAGAAGTAAACAAGGTTGAACTGAGGCTTGGGATATTTGGCAACTCAGTTTTGGAACAAAAACTCTCCCCTGGGCGAGGGCTTGCTCACTGCTGCAGCCTCAGCGCTTGCACAGTGGGAATGGTGGTGCCAAGAAAAAAAATCTGCCCTTGGGAAGGCGAGGGAGTAAACACTGTTTTATGTGGGTGCTCCCTGATGTCACTGATGTTGTAGTGCAGCTTTATTATACTTAAACCTCTTTAAGTATTCACTGAGATCAGAGCACGTTTTGTCAGCCACCAAAGGCTGTCTCTGATCCAGCCTTTACACTGATGAGACAGAGAAGGGGCAGCTGGGGAAACTGAGGCACAGGCCAAGAATTTCCCAAAATCTGTTTTCCTAAAGCCTCACTGCCAGCCCCCCATGGAGGCTCTCCATTGGGAGGTTGCTCATGGATAGAAGAGAAGAACTGGTTATATGCTGAGCTCTCAGTGGAGCAGTGGGAACACCCAGACCCAGGAGATGGGTTATAGGGAGAGCATCAGGTCTTCTGCTACTGGACCAGGGCAGGGACTCATTGGGTTTTTGCTTGAAGGCAAATTTCAATTGTATCACACCCACCGGGCTAATTAATGGGCTCTCCTGGTGCCCTCTTCGTCACAGAGATTCAGCTCAACACCATCACAGGGAAAAGGTGTTTCTATCTTGCTATGCAAAATTGCTAAAAGTGGGAATAAACCAGAGGACCACAGGATGAACCTGCCAGCATACTTGTGCACTGTGTGTTGGGGAGGGAATAGCTTCCTACAAGTGTTTCAAAGCAGATCCTGCCAAAGATGAGTGCCTTTGTCCTAAAAAAGGGATGGAAAAAACCCATAAAATGCAGTATCAAAGAGACATTACTGTTTTTTCATGTAGCCTCCTCAGGTCCTTTTGAAGTGAAAAATGTTTCTTTCTTATTCCCTTATTGGGATAGGCCTCTATTCTACCACATTTTCCTGTGGCTTTGCATCAGCCAGTCTAAATCCTGGTACCAGTGCAGATCAGGAGCAACACAACTAAATCATGTGAGTTGTGCTGCTGGCATCAAGGTTGGGGTTAAAGTCTAGAGATCAGGTCGTCTGACGTGCACATCTGCTGGGGCAGGGGCCTTTCCACCCATGGCTTTGAGGTGGGATTTTCACAAGCTCCCAGCACTCCCTGGATTGCTGGCATGGGCACAGGGTCAAACTGCTGGGGGGAGCAGTGGGACCAAAGCTGAGAATAGTCACCAGAAGGGAGTTTCTTGCATCTCATCCACATCAAATGATTTTCGGAAAATCTTCCCAGGGAACATGTGACCGACTTTGAGCAAGAAATCTCAGACTTTTTAGAAATCACTACAGCCCTTAGAAGATTGCGAATTGTTCTGGAAAACAAATATCCTTCTGTGGAAAAAAGCCAAATTAAATCTAAACTAAAGGCAAGAGAAATCCTTGCAGAGATCGGATGAGTCAGTGGGTTAGAAGTGTTACAGGGAGCCTTTTGCACCTTGACCACAAAGCCAGTACCAATGACAGTGTCTTTCTCATAATGAAAGGGGATCAAAGACCTAAAGATCCAAAATATTTCCAATAATTCGAGCTGAGAGAGAAGGTTTTTGTTTGTACAAGATGGTAAAAAAAACCCCAAAAGATGATGAATACACCTTGTATGTATTCTTAGTAATTACCAGTTCCTCTGATCCTTAGGTTAGAAAAATTAACAGTTCCTTCCTTTCACAGCCAGGGCCAAAGCCCTGTCTAAACTCCACAGGGAAATTTAAGAGATTACAAAAACAACAATCTACTTCACATGGAAGCCTGTCTAAAATGGTGACACACTGAGATGTTAATCCCAGTTAAATGAAGCCATGAATGTAAAACCTTCTGGTTAAATTACCTGTGGGATAAAGAAAGAATTGCTTACCTGGTAAAAGAAACAGTGGGAACTTGCTGTGACTTTTATGCTGGTATGGTCTTAACAGCTTTTCTGCAAACCAGTTGTTTGCCAGTTTTAGAAAACTTTTGTCATGTGGGATCCTCATCTGTGGCCAGAGACTCTGTGCTGTGTCTTCCCATAGGAAAGATATCCATCTGGTTTGAAGGCAACACCTGAGAGAAAGAAAGCATTATTGTCACCTGCTCCCATCCTTGTCTCTTTTTCAAGAAATACAAACGGCAGAGGCAGGTCTAACCTGCATTTGTCTCCTATCAGGGGCAAAAGTTTCTTTCAAATCCTCAATAAAATGGCCCAGGCTATGTTTGCAGGCTGGTTAACCAGTGTTACAGAAATAGGAGTGAAGCCCTTGACAGCTACTCAGCAGTAACTGGCTGTTTTTCTGCTCACACAGGCAAAATGAACATTCAGGAGTATTTCGGAAGAATATCTTACAACAAGCCCCATAAAGATGCAGACTTGCAAACCTTAAAAGCCATCTTCCAGCATCACATCCAGGCCATTCCTTTTGAGAACCTCAGCATGCATTGTGGGGAGACCATCGAACTGGATTTAGAGCCTATTTACAATAAGATCGTGCGAAAGAAACGTGGTGGATGGTGCCTGGAAACCAACTACCTTTTATTTTGGGCCTTGCAAGAATTAGGGTATGACATCTGCATTCTTGGTGCGAATAGCTATGACCCAGCAGAGAGGGCATACACTGCTGAGATGAACCATATCCTGCTGAAGGTGGTGATCCAGGGAAATTCCTACATCGTGGATGCCGGTTTTGGTGGTGCCTACCAGATGTGGCAGCCACTGAGGCTGATTTCTGGGAAGGATCAACCCCAGGTCCCTGGAATCTTCCGCTTGGTGGAAGATAATGGCACCTGGTACTTTGAGAAGGTCAAAAGGAAGCATTATATTCCTGAGCAAAGTGAGACTCCTTACTTCACTGACATTCCAGGATTGGGGAACATCAGAAAAATACATAGATTCACTCTCGAGCCACGACATATAAATGACTTTCAGGAGTTAAACACATACCTACAAGTGTCTCCAGATAACATACTTCGGAAGAAATCACTCTGCAGTCTCCAGACCACTGAAGGGCTCATTGGCTTAGTTGGATGGACCTTGACTGAGATGAAGTATAATTACACAGAGGACATGGACCTGGTGCACATCACAACTCTTACAGATGAAGAGCTTGAGAAGACACTGAAAGATAAATTCAATATAGTGCTGGAGAACAAACTTGTACCAGTAAATGTTCGTGGCTTGCCACCTAATTTAGTGGATAAGATCTAATTCTAGCACTGTGCTAGATGGATCTGTAAGTATCCAACAGAAAAGTTCTAAAATTAACATTAATTACATTAATTGATTCTGAAGTTGAACTAGACACAAAGCATGGTAAATTCAAGTACCTTGCTAGTTAACTGCCTGTACCTTTTGCATAAGTTTTCTTAAGCTTCTCCCTCTTTGGAAACTAAGAGTCTTACTACCTGTGATTTGCTCATATGGAAATTGCTTTTTGACTCCTTAACATTTTGTTCCACCTCTCTGGAACTCATTTTATTGCAGGTATATTTTGCATCAAAGGAGACCAAAATGATGCAGAAGGAGAAGCTGTTACCATTTTACACAGAAGACCTCTAACCCTCTTTGCTGTTATTTTCAATCTTCTCAGCAGAGTTTCACAAATTATTCACTTCCTTCAAAAGTCTGAAAGTTGAGCTGAATTTGGCTCTCAAAGACTTACTAGAAAAAAAGAAAGGTTAAGAGTTTCTCAAAACAAGACACCATTAGGTGCTGATTAGCTTCTGATGAGATAAATTGAAAGACTTGATCCTATTCTCTTACCAGGAATTGACTTAAAGTGAACTATTTATACAAAGGCATCTAAACCCCCCAGAAGATGTTTAATTTTGAGCATCCCATTTTTTCTGAGTCTGATATTTCTGTGTCTCTAAATCTCAAGCACAATTCATAGAAAGCAAGATGATTCAACAGTTCTCAAAAATCAGGCTTTTGCTATCAAACCTGGGGGGAAAAAAAAATCAAAGTTAGATCACCCTTTGCAAAATATAATCTAAACTTTTAGGACCAAACCTTCTTGTGATGTCAAGAGGGCATGACAGTATTATAGATAGAAGAGCATCGGTCTTCAGCCAAGGAAAAGACTTTGATGCTTGTTTCAGTCAACCACATAAGACCCATGGAGCACCTGATGTGCCTAAAACTCGGGTGCTTTCCCAGATGTAGCCTAATGTGCTCTTTGCCTTCCCAAAAAGGACCTGCTCTGACATTCCACCTCCATCAAATGAAGAGGGGACATGCTTGACAGGGAGAGAATTAAATAAGCAGCACTGCAACTCTTTAAGGATGCAGAAGGAGGAAATGCATTACTTTGTGCAAATAAGTATTTGTGATGGTATTTGTTAGGTGTGGCAGCTCCAAAATAACTACCTGCTGCAGCTGAAGATTTGAACAGATAAAAAAGGGCAAAGAAGTGTCATTTTGTGCATCCATGGAGCATGGGAACACCCAGCCTGCAATGCCTCAGCAATTCAGTGGACCCACCAGAACACAGATACCATCCTCCACCACAAAGTGCTGGTTTGCAAAATAACCATAATTTAATTTTAAAAAGTTACAAAGCCGTTTGCAACTGCCCACTGTAATTATTTTACATGGAAAACAAGTTCATTCTGGTCTTAACCAGGGGAAGGCATAAACATCTACTAATAGAGAAGAAACAAAGTTTAATTTGCTCATGGATCAGTGAAGTCCAAAAATGTGCATTTGTTTTGGGTGGACTCTGCCCTTTCTTGGAATTTAAGATTCAGGAGCGAGGGCCAGCAGACCTTAGAAAGACAACCCTCACAATCTGTATCCACTCCTGGCTTCACTGACTGTAACAAACCACCCAGAAACTGAATACCTCAATAAATAAAAAGGGATCTCTTAAGAGGTAAGTTTATTTTCTTAAAAATCCCTCCAAACAAAGCAACAAACCCCCTGCTTTCCCTATGATGGTAAAGGTCATGGGCAATAACGTAAGCAATATTCTTTAGGAAAAATGTTCCAAAAATGTGTGGATATAGAGCTAAAATATCACCTGCTAAACAGGAGCTCTTGAAGAGGGCAAAAAAGTGACATGCAATTTCAATTCTTCTACCTCACACTCTTCAGGAGAGGCTTCAATTGACTATGAGATATAGATTCTTTTGTTTAGATACAATACTAGATATAAATACTAGATACAAATTTAGAACTGCAACCTCTTGATGGAAGTGATGCTTTTAGATTTTTAAATTTATTTAAAAGTATTGCAAGTGCAAAGGAAGCAAAAGTGCAATCTAATAATAGATAGATTCTGCTTTATGGGAATAAAAACAACTTTTAAAAAAAATTACAAACTGCAGGTTGTGTAACCCAGAAAATCCATGTGCTGAGGTATTAAGATAAAGGAAGACAAATAACATGTTTTTAACAATGGAATTGCTGATAGTGTGTATATCCTGGTAAGGAATATTTTTGCATGAGCACCTTCATTTGCACATTTAGAAACAGCTCTTTAAAGTTCTTCTGCCGATGTTTTTCTCTGCATAAATCACAGCCACATTTGGGGGGCTACCTTTTCAGCACCTGCCTTTGCAGTATCCTGCCCTTTCAGTACCTGCCTTTTCATCTGACCTGCTCATAATTCAAAAGAACAGTAGCTTTCATCTCCTACAGTCCAGATCTAATGCTGATCAATCACGTTATGGAGCTGCAGAGAGAAATTACAAATAATATAAACTCCAGAACCAGCTTTATGCAGGTGTGATCTGTTTAGCATTCACAATCAGAGTGAGTAGGATCAGATATACTTGGATTCTGCAAATAAAAAATGCCCTGAATCTTACGTTATACTTAGCAAATACTACAACAATACACTGAGATATCACTGGAAGCTAAATTCCTTTCTGCAGCAGATAAGTGTAGATTTGATGGTGCTCTCCATGCACTTTGGACAGCTGCCTCTACACCAGCTACAGGCACAGCACGAATCTGCCACTGAGAGTCATCTTGAGAAATTCTAGTTTGCAGTAACTGGTTCACTGCTGAATTTATCTGAATACAATAGTCTTCCTGAGCCACTAAGATGTGTCTAAACCTCAGCTTACTGTGTATGCACAAAAGATCTCCAAGTAGCTTCGTGTGTTGGCAAGAAGCTAAAGTTTTGCACTAGCTCTGAACTGCTGAAATGCTCAGTGCTCTCTTTGCAAAGGCTCAAGCCTTCAAAACATTTTGTGCCCAGCTCCAGACCCAAGCAGATGCTCTACAGTGTATTTTACAAACAGCAGATACCAGATACCTACCAGAGATCCAGCCAGAGACTGTGATGGGCCATCTTGAAAGCCAGATGAATGTGAGTGGCTTTTCATGGTATTAGAAGGCAGGAATGAAGTTGAGTAGTTCCTCATCCAGAAATCTTGTTCATGAGGAGTCCTATCAAGGCAGGTCAGGAGTCAGCACAGGCCGAGGTTGCACTGTGTGAGGCTTGGGTAATTCTCAGTCATGCCTTCTCTGGAAGGATTAAAGTGAGTTTTAAGAAAGGCCTAGAGAGGTCTAAAACAGCCCATGTCCATTTTCAGGGCACCCTGTGAGATGCAGGGCAGATATGCTCTTTGTCTCTGGGGTCATTCACTTCCATTAGGATTCATTATTCCAACACCAAAATGAGCTTCTGCAATACTCATTTCTGCAATAGAGCAGGTCAGCAGACTGTGACTCTTTCAGAGGTCAGAGTTTTTCCAGTTAAAGTTATCTAAATAAAACTTGACACTACAAAATGTGCAGGAGTATCATCTTAACTTTTTGTAAGTGGTGGAAGAGCGACGTGTACTGAACAAGCAATTTACTGTCACGTTGATCAGTGGCAGACCCATGTAAAGAGCTCAGATTATCCTCCCTCCAACTGGCAGATGACAATGCTTCCCCCACTGACACTCCCTGCACTGAACAGAGGATTTAGACCATTTTTCATGAACCCTTGTACATACTCCGTAGCATGATCTTTTATTTCTTCTTAACCCCGCTGTTACAATGCAAATACAGCAAACCCCCATTTCACAAGCACCACATAGGAAGCTGAAAAGGCATCAGCTGTTTGCTATAGGGACTCCCCTCAGATGAAAGCAAACTCTCACATGCACTGCTCTTTGCCTGGGGAGCCATTTGATATGAATACTTGGTACCTTTAAGAGCTGCTCTGATGAGGTTCAGTAGATTAAAGCATCTTTGCTGGCAGAGCCAGGGCAGCTTTTCACAGCATCATAAATCACTGATGTAAAGAAACCAAACCAAAACGCAGTTCCTTCCTTTACAGGTGACATGAACCTTGAAGAGTATTTTGCAAGAACTGGCTATAAAGGCTCCCTTGAAAAGCAAGATTTGGAAACCTTAACTGATATATTCCAGCACCACATCCGCGCTGTTCCCTTCGAAAACCTCAGCATCCACTGCGGCGAGAAAATTACTTTGGAACTGGAGCATGTTTACAACAAAATCGTGCAGAGGAAGCGGGGGGGCTGGTGCATGGAGAACAACCAGCTGCTGGGCTGGGTCCTGAAGCGCCTGGGGTACGACACCAGCTTCCTGGGAGCATACGTGTTCAACCCCCACCAAAACACATATGCCACCATCATGACCCATCTCCTGGTAAAGGTAGTCATTGATGGCAAAGCTTACATCGTTGACGGAGGCTTTGGTGTATCCTATCAGATGTGGCAGCCTATGGAGCTTGTGTCAGGGAAAGACCAGCCCCAGGCTCCCGGCGTCTTCCGCTTCACGGAAAAAAACGCCGTCTGGTACCTTGAGAAAATGAGACGGAAACAGTGTATCCCCAACCAGAACTTCTCTAATTCTGACCTGCTGGAGAAAAAAGAGTGTCGGAAGGTTTATATGTTCAGCCTTGAGCCACGGACAGTGGAAGATTTCCGTTTCCAGTGCACGTACCTTCAGACCTCTCCAGATTCCCTCTTTACAAAGAAGTCCATCTGCACCCTCCAGACCACCGACGGCTTCCGAGCGCTAATTGGGTGGACGTTCACTGAGACCACGTACAACTACAAGGAAAACGTAGATCTGGTGGAATTTGTAACTCTTGAAGATGAAGAGGTGGAAAAAACCCTCAAAGAGAAATTCAACATTACCCTAGATAGAAAACTTGTCCCAATTAATGTTAAAGGATCTTACACAATCTAGATGATCAGAAAAACCTACAACAATGCTACGTAGGTACAGTACCTTCCATTGTCTGTGCAATCCCTTCTGCAAGGTTATGGGATTCATTTACAGGTGACTGAAAGACAAATACATTAATATGGGATTAAAGTGAATTTCACTTGGGGAGAAATTAGGAATTTAAGACTCTTGAGTCAGATGAAATTATTTGCTGTGAGATGACTGCCGTTCAATTTTTGGCACAAACGTAGGATCTGATTTGAATCTGGTTATAAGCTTGGGCAAGAAATATGTCTAGGGTATATTGGACTGCCTGTAGCACACAAATAGGAGTATGGATTATTGATTGTGATGTGCTGCCAACACATTTTCTGTGGTTATTATAGGGAGACAAGTCATCTCTGAGCATTTAGACAGTGAAGTACACATTTAAAACTTCATTTTTCATAAGATCCGACCACTCACCACTCATGTCATTTCTCTACCTTTGTCATCTTTGAAAAGAGGATTAGGAGGCATAATTCTTTCGCCATCATCCTTAGACAAAATATAGTACAAAATGAAAATTATCATCATGTGCATCCTTTTGGCCATTACTGCAGTAAACTAAACTACCAAAAAGTAATTTTTGGTATGTACAGATTTTTCTAGTGATGAAAATTCTATATATTGCAGTGTTATTGTGGCTGATGGGCTCTAAGGAGATAACTACAAGCTTTGCTTCTAATAAGTAATCATCCTGTAAACGGTGATTAAATGTCACAGCTGGCTTAGATTTACTTTTGTCCCAAAAGGGGTGGAAATGTTGTATTTTTAGCATTGCATTTTATTTGTATAACAAAGGTAGAACAATGAAGCTAAGCCCACTATATCCTTAATTCTCTCCTCTCTGTGTATAGCAAACATAAGAGTCCATGTAGCTGTCCTGCATGGGAACTGCTTAGCACAGGAGCTTAAATGTCACAAGGGAGTTTGCTCATCTGTATCAAAGTGAAAACAAAACCAGGAGCCAGCCAAATCTAAAAGAAACTCTTTCTTTTGAATAATTTCACAATCACGTTTCCCCATTTTTAAAAAAATATTGTTCCTCCTACCATGCTTCTCTGCAAAAAGCCCAACCAAGGGAACCACTAAGAAAGGGGAAACATTCTTAAATACATACAAAAGTAGCAGAAGCAGTGAAAACCACTCTTTCTCCCCAGTCTGTGATAAGCCTGAGTATTGGTCAAATGTTGATTCCTCCCACTGATAGTGTATTTTTGCTCAAGGGCATCACCTGATCGTTAATCTCACAAATGCTGTTAAGTGTATACCAGAAAATAAATAAAAGGAAAATAAAATAATTAAGAGTTGTTTTAAGTACAGCTGCCCCCAGCTGCATGACTGCTGCACACACCATCTGCTAAGTGGGGTCTGTTCACTCCTGATACTGACCTGCAACCCTTCCCACCTCAAACTTCCTTGGATCATTAAGGTTGGAAAAGACCTTTACGATCATCAAGTCCAACCCTCAAACCCAGCACCAGGATCACCATTAAACCCTGATCTCAAGTGCCACATCCACATGTTTTTTGAACTGTTCCAGGGATGGTGACTCCACCACTTCCCTGGGCAGACTGTTCCAATCCTTTACAACCGTGGTGGCAGCGGATGGCCTGAGTGCACTTGATATTGCCCAGGGACGAGGAACTGAGGGCCAAGCAAGAGGTGACAGGGGACACAGAGATCTTACTGAGGTGAGAACACAGCTTTTCTATTAATAATGAAACTATGGGATTTGTTGGGTAATTTGTATTCATATTATTCTCTTATATTAAGGTCCCATTAAGGGGGTTTACCCTTTTCTAAATGATTGATAATTACGAGGTGTTCCCTGAGACCTGAGGGAACATTACAAGCTTCAAAACACTCACCACCTCCATTCTAACCGATGGAAATTCCCATCTGCACTCACCCAGGTAACCAAACCATATTTCTGTATGCAGTGAACTACAGCTGTTTTCTGGTGCTGCTCCCTCTTGAGCACAGTCATTAACAGAGTGGTTATTTTGCCTCCCAGCTTCTCTAGAGGTGTTCCTGCTGTTGCTCCCAGATAGTTGCTTGGGTTGTGATAATACAAAGATTTCTTGAGCAGAGGTCTGTAGACTAATATCAGGATTTTTAACTGTGCCTCCAATAATGGGATTCATCTCCCTTCTACTGTTCAGTTCATATTAAAAATCTACGGTGACTGAAGCTTCAACCCTTTCCTTGACTGTTGATAACCACTCTGAGTGGGATTTCTCCTCTTGATGTGACAATTATAACCAGGTCCTCACTGTGCAACATCAAATCACACAAATAAATGCCAATGCATACAGCTAAGAAACAGCTTCACAGTTTAACCAAAGCTGCCCAAAAGCTGAGGAAAGCAGGTTATTGAGGTGTGAATGCCAGACCCAAAGTGCCTCAAAGGTGTGAGATGAGAATGTCGTAAAAACAAACAAAACCAAACAAACCCGGGGGCCTCATGCTGGGGTTCCATTAGCAAGGCATTATTGTACAAGCTGATGTTATCCCATCTTGAAAAGAAACACCCAAGTCCTTAAAACATCAGCTCTCACAGAAACTTGCATTCACATGAGGAAGGAACTGTGGGATATGTTACATCCTTCACCACCACTCTGCTTCATTAACACTCTCTGAGAAGGGTTTAATAAGAGCCTAAACGATTTTGCAGTTTTAGTTGTGGACTGTTGTTGAAATGAAGCAAAACAAATGCTTAGAAACCTCCCCTGTGCCCCTAGACTTGTCTAATTCCAAATACAATTTAAAAGTATGGTATTCCAATTAAGAGAAAGACAAGACAATTTCTTTTCTAAGTCTGAATGCTGGATTAAGTCCCAGAATCCCAGCCCAGCTGCCCATTACACACACACGCAATGCCCAGTGGCAATGACAGCCATTGTAGGATTGCATAATGGAGTGTTTGATTAGAAAACAAGACACAGGACAGAAGAAACACGGTTCAAACTCCGTGGCACCACTGAACATCCTGCCCCTCCCCAAAGAACCAAAGTTTAATCAGCTCATGCATTACTAAAGGGAGGACACAGGATGGCTCACTTCAGTTGGACTCTGGTCCTGGACTTTTTAAGATCCAATACTAAGCAGAATAAAAGTAAAATGAAAAACATCAGCAAGAAAGACAAAAGTTTACTGTTCAGTACTTCCATGGTTCCAACCCCAGAAATAAACAGCATGAGCCTGCCAAAGGCCCAAACTTCACCTGACAAGGGACAGACTTAACACTGTGAGCTGTGAGCACCAACTACACCCACACTTTGCTTTGTTCACCCCAGCAGGTACCTCGGTGTCACAGGCACAAACACTTCTGGTGCCTGGTAACACTTTACCACCTACATTTTGCAGGGAGCCACTTTCCTTAATAAAAACACTGCTTACCCAACTTTTCTTCTCACTTTTCATTTAGAAACGTGACCACGTGGGAAGGTTCTACAGCTTAGGAACTTGCACATGAAAATGCATTTGAGTCTGTGTCAGAGCCAAGAAAGCTGGAATTACTGTAGGTTCTCTTTACGAATATTTCACTGCTACACTTACATCTTTATCAAGAGTACTTAAGCACAGATTTTGTACAGCAGAATGTTTCTACCTTGGGTAGGAAGCTAGAGTCAGACTTATATAAATACACATATATATGTATATATACAATTGGAAATGTAGACGGGTATTTCAGAAGATCCCATTATAATACACCTGCTTGTAACTTTGGGCACCTAAAATACATTTAAAGTCATGTAGGGCTGATTTTTGGTTTTGTCTTGCTCCCAACAGGGCACTATGGATGGTGTTTTTAAAGGCACATTTTACAAACTCCCCATGAATAAAAGATTGTGCTAAAAATGAGTAGCTGCTTTTACTGTAGCGTTTCAGTAGCTCACTGAGCCACCAGCTAAATGTGAACAGCAAAGCCCCCAGATTTAAAGACAATAAACTGAAATCTACCATTTCTTCACAGTTGGTGCTGAATATATTTAGGAAACAGCAGAACTACCCTCCCCCTCTCCTGATTCCAAAATCATGGATTTTCTGGGAAGCTGTTTAGCGTTCACTCACGTGCTTATTCAGGCACCATGCCACTCACCTTTCCAGCTATCCCTAGGGAAATGACAGGAAATTAAGGACCAACATATGCCAGAATGCTCAAAATTACCCCCCACTGGACTGGATAGGATGCTGCAAAGGAGAGCTCTTTGCAGAAAGCCTTGGCAAAGGCAGACTTCACATGGAGTTCATCTGAGCCACTATGGTTATCAGAATAACCCAAAAACTCCTTTATGTTGCACCACCAGGAACTTCCCCAGTGCACTGTCTCTCAGGACATGCAATCGTAGTGACATCTCCTGGTTGTTGGTGGTTCACTAGAACATACTTTACCCCTCAACTATCCAGCACAGCCATGCAGAAATTCACTCTCCATTCAAGAAATGTGCTCAGAGAGAGAGAGGAATCATTTTCCTACTAATAAGCAAGAAAGAATAATGGGATATATTCCAAGTTTTTCTTGTGACGACCAACAATAAATCATTTCTTAGCTCAGGTCACATCTTGCATGGGAAGAAAAATGTCTTGCCATCATTAACTTCTTTTCAGCTAGCAATAATATATGATCAGGTTTTAAGTAACTGAACCAGTAGCATTTAATTAGCTCCGAAAAACTATCTCAGATCATGAATCACAGCCTTTCCACCTACATGAGGTCCCCTTACTAGGTTAAAAGTATATTTCTCTTGCCATGTGTGATCCATCTTGAATATCTAATGAGGTGCTCCTGATATATAGATTATAGTTCATATATCACATGCAAAATACAGCAGGACACAGTGTCTCCTTCCTTAAATAATTGAGTTTCGTGTCTTGCTTCACTGAGCTGCTAAAAAAAGAAGAAAAAAAAAAAAGCCTCTTGTGTCCATGACAGGCCACTCCTCACTTCAGTTTAACCCATTCCTCTTTCTCCAGAGAGTCAGCATTAAGGCTGAGTAACTCAAGACATCCTGAGCAAATGCAGTAATAGCAATATTTTATGTTGAAAGGCATTTCACAGAGAACTGCTGTGATTTTAGGCAAGACCACACTGACATTTTTCAGAGCACTGACTGACCAAAGGACATGATGCTTCCTCCTACTATTACTTCAGATGGCTTCATCACATGCTGAACAAATCAGTGCACTCAACTAGTATTTGGGACATCTGTGGCCAGCACAAAACAAGATCACTTCTTATATCAGACTGTATTAAGCATTTTTTTTTTACATTAAATAAGCTACACCACAATCATAAAGCACAAAAAATCACAGTTTTTATTCAGCTTTCAAGCATGTTTCTGAAGCCGTTATTATGCTTTTATGACAAGACTTGGATAATTATAAGACTGGATTTTTTTGCTGAGAAAGAGGCAAGATGAGCAAACTTCTTTTGGAAGACAGAAACTAAGACTCACAATCTGCTCAAATGTCAAGTTGTAAACGTTGCCCAATATTTGGCTTGCTCTATAAAAAAAAAGTTGCACTACAAAATCCTCTGTTTTTAAATAAACTTTATAAAAAATAAAATTCAGTAAAGTGGATTTTATCTCTCTGTTCTTCTCCCATCTTATTTTTAGCACAGTAAAAAAAAAAATAAAAAAAAAATCACAAGACAAACATGTTTCAGCTGACTTTTTTTCAATTTGAAGACAGCAAAAGTTTTCATTTTCATAATAAAGAAAGCAGGGGAAGCTGAGCTGCCTTACTGAATTGGACACAGCTCATCTTTGCTCTGAATACTTCTTTCAGATGTTATCCTAAATTGTAAAAAACATGGCTCTCCATTGCATGTGACACTTGATCTAGTTACGCACAACATTTGAAGAGACTGGTGGGATTAGTGCCCCACATGTTAAAAGCTGCTGAGGGAGGAAAGGATGTATGACATCCATCATAGACACATCCACTTTGAAAAATGTCTGTTGTGGATGGCTGAAATTTCAGTGAGAACAGAACAGATTTACAAATCCACCCTTTACATTAAATAACAAAATCTCCAAACAGTCTCCAGTTCGTGATACTCTGGTAGGCATTAGGTAACATTTCTATTTGCTCCACTTGTGCAGTCGACATTAATCCTGAGGTTTTAAGAACATTTTCTTAGCTTTTTTCCTAGGTATTATGTTACTATTCCTATCTTCATCAACTTCCTCATCTTCATCATCATCCTTGAGTACACGTTGGTCTCTCTTTCTCAAAAATTTCTTCCCTATTGTTCCCACTAATGTTTCGTATCTGTAAAGAGAATAAAAAATTTT